ATAAATAAATAAAAATTTAAAAAAATGCATGTGGGGAACATCTGGGGAGACCAGGTCTTTACAACATGAGCTGCCCGCTCTCCTTGCTTTGCACATTGCAATAAAGCTGTACTTTCCTTCGTCACACCATGTGCCTATGGTTAATTTTTATAGCCCTTGGGCAAGTGAACCTTATTTGGGTTTGGTAACACTAATAATGAGCTATTTGGGGAATCAGCAGATGGCATCATGGTTACATCACTGGACTTCCACATAGTTGACCACGGTTTGAGTCCCAGACCCAGCATCTTAAAATTCACACTGGGTGCATGTGCATGCATGACCAAGATCCTGGGAGGAAATGGAGGTGAAAGAATTGTGGCGTGGCCATTTCCTCCTGGGGGGTGGGGTGAGGTGGGGTGAAGTCTCACTTCCTGTTTCTGTCTCTCCAGTAAGTGCACTCACCCTCTAGCAAAAGTCTCTCAAAAAAAAAGTAAATAAAAATAACGAGCCATTTGGACTGTAAATTTTGTGGCCTACATGTGCATTCAGAGAAATAATATTTGGATACCAAATTTCTCCCTCATGGTAAAAACCCCTTTATGAGTCCACAAAGGGCAGGCAGTGAGAGAGAGATAGGACAGAGAGGCTTTTGCAAAAAACAGCAATTTTTTTAAAGAGGTTTTTTGCTATAGGGCATGCGCACTCGCCAGACAGACAGAGAGAGACAGAGAGACAGGAAGCAAGAAATTACCCCCCAGGGGGGATGGCCATGCCACAATCCCTTCTCCTTCATGCTCCTCTCTGGATCTTGGGCACGCATCCACGTTTATGTGCCAGGTGTGAGTTTAAGCCACCGGGTCCGGGACTGGAACCGCAGTTGACTACATGAGAGTCCAGCAACATAGCCATTATGCCAACTGCTGGTCCTGAACACGTGCACTTTTTTGAATCCCATTGTAGTCAGACAAGTGAGTAGAAGCAGCTGTATAAAAGCAAAGGGTAGGCCCAAAGGCCCAGGCAACAGGCCAGTGGTGGATGATGGACATGGCTGCAGACCCCAGCCATTAACTATAAGCCTTGAAAAGAACTTTCTGTCCCTAGACTTCACGGAGTAGGTGAATGCAATGAAGCCCAAGCAGCAGCAGTTAATGAAGACTGTGTTGGGACCAGCAGTTAGCATAATGGCTATGTCGCTGAACTCCCACGTAGTCGACCACGGTTTAAGTCCCGAACCTGGTGGCTTAAACTCAGGTCGGGCGCGTGTGCGTGCATGCCCAAGATCCCAAGAGGAGAATGGAGGAGAAGGGATT